AAAAAAAAAAAAAAAAGTATTATTTAGGATAGGAGCTTGTGGCTCATGCATGTAATCCTAACTAGACAGGAGGCTAAGATATGAGGATCATGGTTCAAACCCAGCCAAGGCAGGAAAGTCTGTGAGACTCTTATCTCCAGTGAACCACCAGAAAACTAGAAATAGAGCTGCGGATCAAAGTGATAGAGTGCTAGCCTTGGGCAAAAAGCTCAAGGACAGAAAATGAAAATGTATCAAATATCGAAGTCTGAATGATGAGAGGAGTTAGAAACACCTGGGAACATTTGAGGGACTAGTATTAAGTACACAAAAAAACTAAATAGATGGCTATACTGTAATTAAGAAAAAAAAAAACAGAAAATAAAGTTTTAGAGAAGGTGGAACTTTCATGATGTTGGTGGGAACTTAAGATGGTACAAAACAGTTTGGCTAAAAGTCAAATATAAAATTTCCATATAGGGCTGGGAAGCTGGCTCAGTGGTAGAGTGCTTGCCTCGCATGCATGAGGCCCTGGTTCGATTCCTCAGTACCACATAAGCAGAAAAAGTGGGAAGTGGTGTTATGGTTCAAGTGGTAGAGCGCTAGCCTTGAGTTGAAGAGCTGAGGGACAGCGCCAGACCCAGAGTTCAGGCCCCACGACCGAATAAAATTTAAAAATTAATTTTAAAAAATATATATAATAAAAAATAAAAAATTAAATTAAAAAAATTACCATATAGTTTGCCCATTCCATTCCTGCATACCCAATGGCACTGAATACAGGAACCCCAACAGATGTTAGCACACAAATGTTTATGACAGCACGAGTCACAAATCCAAAAGTAGGAATCAACTCAAATGTGCATGAACCATGAATGGAGGAATAAAGGGTAGTATATTCATATGAAATATTATTTGACCACAGAAAGGGATGAATTACTGATACTTGCCTCACACTGTAATCTCCAAAACAATCTGCAAAGTGAAAGAAGCCAGACACAAAAGGTCATATTGCTTGTTTCTGTTTACATGAAATATCCAATATAGGTAAACTATAGACACAGAGCCCTAGTGTCTTGGAAGATAAGTAATTGCTTAATGGATATAGAGTTTTTTTGGGGAGTGGTGAAACTGTTCCATTTGGAGGGATGGTTGTACAACATTGGAATGTACTAAATATCATAGAGTTCGATCTTCACATGGTTTATATGAGGAGCCAGACGCTGGTGGCTTATGCCTATAATCCTAGCTACTCGGTAGGCTGAGCTCTAGAGGATACAGGTTCAAAACCAGTCTGGGAAGAAAATTCTGTTGGACTGGATCTCTAATTAACCAGCAAACATCTGACTCAAAGTGCGGCTCCAGTGGTAAAGCATCTACTGCGAACAACCATGCTGAGGGAGAACACGAGACCCTGAGTTCAAACCGTGGTATAAGCAATAAACAAACAAATAAAATGGTTCATGGACATTGGGCACTGGTGGCTCATGCCTATCAGTCTAACTACTCAGGAGGCTGAGGTCTAAGGATCAAGGTTCAAAGTCAGCCCAGGCAGAAAAGTCTATGAAACTCTTATCTCCAATTAACCACTTAAAAACCGGAAGTAGAACTGTGGCTCAAAGTGGTTAGAGCACTAGCCTTGAGCATAAAAGCTCAGAGTCAGCTCCCAGACCCAGAGTTCAAGTCCCATGACTGACAAAAAATAAAATAAAGGTTCATGAGTGCATTTTACTTAAACAACAAGAAAAAAAAATACACAAACTAACAAGACAATTCTTGTACAAAACTAAAAAGATGTACAGAAAGGGACAAATGAGTCAGAACATACTACAAGCTTCTGTCAATATAGCATTTATGTAGTTATGATCATGTAAACATGTAATGTAAAAATACTGATCTAGGGCTGGGAAGGTGGCTCAGTGGTAGAGCGCTTGCCTTGCATGCATAAGGCCCTGGGTTCGATTCCTCAGCACCACATAAGCAAAAAAGAAAAAAACTGGAAGTGGCACTGTGGCTCAAGTGGTAGAGCGCTAGCCTTGAGCTGAAGAGCTGAGGGACAGTGCCCAGGCCCAGAGTTCAGGCCCCACA